AAGCATATTGAAATGAGTTTAGGATCCCATTCCTTAAACTACTGGTTCCCCAATTGATGCCTGACATTCCACCTTATTCATCCATTCGTTCCTTTAAGCAAACCCTAGGCATTCATTCATTCTCATTCTCTCACTCTCTCTTTCTCTCTCTGTGTTTCCCTTTCTCTCTCCCTTTCTCCTTCTTTCCTGTGTTCATCCCTCCCCTTTATCTGCTTCCATCCCTTCTTCCTCTCACTCTCAAATGAAAATTACTTTAACTGTGGCATTGCTAAATCATTAACACCTTGTCAACTTATCAAAAATAATTATACATTAGTTCTGTTCAAGCAAGAGAGGATAACATAACCTGATTCTGGGCAGCTTGGAGTGGGGGAACATTAAGATTGAGCTTATTGTTCATTCATTCATTCAAGAATTTACTAGGTCATTAAATATTTATTCGGCACTAATTATTTACCATGTACCTTAATAATCTCTAAAGATATAATGGTGAGCAACAATATACAACATCCCTGGCCTCCTTTATTAAGATAAGGGAGTCATACAGGTTGAGTATTCCTAGTCCAACATTCTTGGGACGAGAATACTCAACCTCTTTCTGATTTTGGATTTTTCAGATTTTGGAATATTTGCAATGTATTTATAAATAATATATTACCACACATAACAATTGAGCATCCCTAATCCAAAACCTGAGATGCTCCAATGAGCGTTTCCTGTGAACATCACGTTAGTGCTCAAAGAGTTCCTGATTTTGGAGGATTTCCGATTTTAGATTTTCAGATTAGGGATACTTAACCTCTAATTTAAGTAAATACGTATATGAATGTAAAGTTGCATTAGTGAAAAGTGCTGCCAAGATGAAGTGTTTAGCTCTATAAGATCTTTTCTAAAAGGCTATTTAAAGCAAGCCTTGAAATAAAGTGTTAAGAATTCTATAGGTTAGTATGGACTATGCTAACTCATAACTTTTCTTAAATTTAAAGGGAGGGAGATGTTCCAGAGAATTAATGGGATTTACAGAACTAAAGGGGCTCTGATAATATTTATCACCCTGCAGACTATGGAACTTAACTGCCAAAATTGAAAAGAGAAATCCATTCCTAGGCATTTCCAATCCTGTCTCTAAAAGCCACCTTTTACCTACATGGTCCTGTCATCCGTGTGATCAGAGGCAACTCATCATATTTTGTCTACATGCGTAGCGTGTATGTATGCACATCCATGTATGTATCTTGTCTGTATCTTTCTCTGAAACTCTCAGTACAGGCTGGGAAAGGGACACTGGAATTCTTGCCTGTTTTTCTAGGGAAATGGCATCCTAAAAGCACCAAATAATAAAGCCATGCGTGAGCCTAAATAAACAAA